CGTTTACGATCTGATTTATGTCGCGCCAACTTGGAGTCATAAACTTGAAAACACTAGCCTAGTGTTTTCAGGTTTACTCGCGCATGCGTGCCATTCACAGTGTCCCTTTAATGGGAAAACAATCCTACCAATTTTAATTTATCATATAAATTAAGATTCTACAAAATATTTAGATTGGTGAGGTTTGTAATGGTACATATTAGTTCTGTTGTGCAGCTATTTGTAATAATTTATAACCCCCATGCTCAATAGCCGACTTTAGATGTTTTGGTTCAGTGACCAAGCTCAAAAGAATTGCAGACAAGGCTTCGGGGAAATAAGAAAAATATCCCATTTTCATATTTATGAAAGTAAAATTATGGGATACAATCAATGATGATTGCAGTTGTAATTGTACTGACAGCTCAGAAATATACCAGTGAGGAAATCTTGTAGGTCATGTGGTTAGAAATATGACAGAGGAGGCAAAAATTATTGCAAAATTAAAAAAGAGATGCTTACGGGTGAGGCTTATTAAGTTTGTCTAGGATAGCGTCCTCCGTAGGCATCTCTTTCCTTTCTTAAAATTAGCGGTTTTCCTGTGTTATATCAGTAAGAGAGCGGGACTAGTAACGAGGCGGAACCCCTATTCTTGCCCGTTATTCCACAGGGAGCCCAAAGTATATAAAAAGAGATTCATACGGATGAGACTGTGTCTACACAAAGCGGATTAAAGCTAAACCCAGAAAACATCATGTGACATACTAGTCAGTTTAAATAATAATACCATTGACAAGCCGTCTAAAACCAGCCAAAACAGAATCATTTTCAGAACAGTTACCAAAAAGCATAGATTTGTTTGCCTTCTTCGTTTTCTGGTGCCACTTGCTAATCAGTTTCTATTACTACCATGTGCTATCCTTGTTAAATAAAGTTTATTGTACTGTATTGTGTTGCGTTGTGTTGTGTTGCATTGTATCTTGGTTGATGTGTTGTGTTGTGTTGTGTTGCGTTGCGTTGTGTTGCGTTGTGTTGTTGTTGTTACGTTGCGTTGTTGTGCTGTGTTGCGTTGTGTTGTGTTGCATTGTATCTTGGTTGATGTGTTGTGTTGTGTTGTGTTGTGTTGTGTTGTGTTGTGTTGTGTTGTGTTGTGTTGTGTTGTGTTGTGTTGTGTTGTGTTGCGTTGTTGTGTTGTGTTGTTGTGTTGTGTTGTTGTTGTTGTTGTGTTGTATCTTTTGAATCTCATGGATTGGTTGAAAACGAGCAAATTCTAACTGCGTAATTCCTATAGCTATGTAAACCGTGGTTCTCCTAGTAATCTGGCCACGAATCGTTTCTCATTTTGCGTCCCGGAATGTCCCATTGTGCTACTGCTTAACGATCTGTAGCTATCATAATGCGGGTACGTGGAGGAAGTTTCAAGTGCGTCGTGGCTGTTTATAAAGTAGCTTTCACTTGACGGGTCATTTATATCCTTAAAGTTTGGATAGCTGTCATGTGAACGTCGGCAGCAGTTTCGGCAACACCGAGTCAACTCCGTAGACTGGCCATACACTAGGCAATTGAGGAATCCTTGAAGAGGGTTGACAACGGCCTGGAACGAAAGAGCGAAAATGTTCATCATAAAGACTAAGGAATTGATAGACATCAAAAGATCAATTGTTTGAAATGAGAAATGTTTTTACTATGATTCATCTGAATTTTGACAGATAAATAAATAATGTACTTTGAATGACAAATTGGAGTATTTGACGCAGCGTAATATTACTCACGTACCTCGATCATCCAGATATCAAATTTCAACGTGGTGTCTGGGAATCCATCTTCGCTTTCCAAGACATAGGTCTGATTCAAGTAATGTTTGAATAATATTTGTAGATCAAGAAAGCCTGCAACAACGTTGATTATCCAGCTATGGGAGAACAAAGACACTTAGCGTGGCAATACAAGACTTCCTGGAACTGAATGATGGGTCTTAGAAGGGGAACAGTTCCAGGGACATCATGGTCCACCAGCATCCCTTTCGAGCTTTTGCTCATGTTTGAACATAAAAATACATCAGTCATATAAGCAAAAACTTACTCTTTATTATTCCTTTATAATGATGAATGGAAATATTGTAAGATTCGATCTTGAAACCGATGGATGGAAACGGATTGCGAATTGATATGCGAAGTCACCTTATTTTCCATATCATATAAAATCTAAAACACGACCGCAATGAATGCTGGTGGACCATGTCTCCTAAAGGTAATTACTCAGGTGTTGGTATGTAAAAATGAGCAAAAGTAAATAAATAAAGAAAATGGGAAAATTGACTTCTTACCAGAAGACAAACACAAGACAGATCAGGGAAAACTTTTTTCTCACAGCATATAAAAGTTTCCTTTCAGTGTTCGTGTAACACGCATGCGCAGACTTGACATTTTTCCGGACTAGAATATAACAAATAACACTGGTAACTTTTTGGTAATTCTTTTACACCGAATTGTTGAGAAAACGTTTTGCGTACTGTCAAACCGTTATAAAGCGGCCACCTTGGGGAAAAATATCACCACTAAATAGAGGCTGACCGTTTAAAAGAGGTCATGTTTACAGTAAAAATATATGAGAACTATCGAACTTTAGGGAATTCATGAGTGACCGCTTCATGGAAAGTGACCGCTTCACAGAGGTTCGATGTATACGAGCAACAACTAACAAAATCTGATCGCTGATCCCAGCAAATTGATGTTCCCAATTTCTAAAACATTGATCCCGACCTCAAGACTAAGTACTAATCCATGAGCTTGAAAATATAGCGTAGTTGATCCCCCCCCCCCCGATCCAGGATTTTCCTCAGGGAGGGGTGCGGGGCTCTCAGTAGGGGGTGCACCCCACAGAAATCATTACCATGAAGATACAAATTAAGGAAAGTATTGAAAGAATAGATCTCAGGAGAGGGTGCGCCCCCCCTGCACCCCCCAGCTGGATCAGCCCCTGCCTGATCCCATTATCCCTTGATCCTTGATCCCTACCCTAAACCGCAAGTGATAACAGCACCTTTTCTGTACGCCAGGAGATATATAAATGGTAGAACAAGGAATACACAAACAAGAGGCACAAAACACACCATGTAATGCAAGATTTCTCGATCCCACATTGAACAACTATGGAAAAAGAATACAATGATTTAATACTTATAATAGTGATGACAATCATAATAAATATGAAATAAGCTTTCAAACTTTGGCATAAAGTTTGACTATAAATACTTATCTCAAAAAAGGATTTTCTGATAAAATGTCAATAGTCTTCTTCACGGTTCCCTGCGCCATGTTGAAAGGTAGCCGTGCCGTCTCATCAAAGCAATACAACCGTTGAGCGTGCAATGATAGAAACCTGTGAATGATTGTATGTACGTGTGAAAGAAGGTTTCTATCATTGCACACTCAACGGTCGTCTCACTTCGATGCAAAGGCACGGCTACCTTTCAAGATGGCGCAGGGAACCGTGAAGAAGACTATTGTCGAACGACGATTGCACGACCGAAAGTAGCCATGGGTTGTGCTAATTGATGAGAAATAAAAACTGATTTGTACTGTAAGAAAGTTTGTTTCTTTGCAAGGCGAATCCAATAAGTCAGTGAAATTTTGTCAAAACAGTGTAACCATAGTCCCTTTGGGACGACATGCAATCTTCCTTCGACATTCGCCGTTTGGCCATTTTTGGCGGCCATTTTGGCATCGGATTCTATTATCTTCAGCTATCTCTTTCATTAACTTACTATTCATTTGAGCCAGCGAAATATCCAATTTGACACCATACAACAACCCATATAGGCGCAAACCAGAAGCCTATCTGATATGCCTTCATTCTGATACTAGGGGAAAAAAATAAGATGAGGTTTCACAACCTCGTTCCCAGGCCCTTATCCCTTCTGACACCAAGCGAAGTGATAAGGGCCTGGGAACGAGATTGAGGTTTTCAAAAAAAGGACTGGACACTAATTTGCAATATTTGTGAAGGTAAACAAACCTTGATTAGAGGGATAGGGGGATGACAACAGGGACTGGCTCACTACCTTTTCGCTCTTCCCCTCACAATCAATCTATTCATTACGGCAAAATAATTTACCTCGTGTCTTTATCATAGATTTGAAGACAAATATCCAGGGCATATCCAAATGTCCAAAGGTATGAAGAAATATATGAAAACATGGTAAAGCTCTGAAAGAAAATTACGCAACTGACGATCCATTAGACTTTTTAGGGGGGCTTGGTAGATCTATACTAGTTGGTGCAAGAGTTTTTTGTGGACCTCAGCCGCGCGCTTGCAAAAGCTTTAGTGGAGATTTTTGCCTTGCAGGAATTTTTTTTTTTTTTTTCAAAATCTTCCACCCCCGACGGCTAAACATAAGGAGTCGGTGAAACGTAATCACCGGGAATCGTCTAAAGTACAATGTCCTTGGAACGAGAGTTCGATTGTCCTGAGATAAATAGCTCACAGTTGTTTGAGACAAGTGATGAATCTGTTTTTTGGGTCCGCAAACTGTGATCTTAGGACACAAAAACAAAAACTCGACTGGTTCCGTGAGTCAGTCCCAATTCGCTCTCTGTCAAAAACTTTGGCGCAGGCCCACGCCTGCGTGTAGTCGGTAAATATAACTGTAATTACAATATGGACAGAGTTCAAGCAGGCTAGACCGACTTGTGACCAAGCATGTACATAATGCCATCCTCAGGAACCCAGTCGAGTAATCTTTAACTGGTCGTTCGCTCTCGAATGATAGCTTGTCGGATTTTTGGGATATAAACCATCGAATGCTTAGATAAAACAAGCGAACTAGACATAAAAATTCTTGCGGGTTGTTTATAATTACAAGGTGATTTAGGCTTTTAATTGTTTTAAAATTTTCAAACAAACGATTGAGTTTACAGACAAACGCAAAGTTTAAAGTTTTCCGTCACCACTATGCTTTTGCGAGCCTCTGCGTTATTGTTATGATTTACACCACACTTCTAGTATCCAAATATCACCATAAAACGAATGTCAGATGGTTGAAAACTCTAATATTAGCGTTTAAAGTGCCTAGAAAAGTGGGATGGTCAAAGATCCGAAAGGCACAGTACAACTTATAGACTTTCGGTAAACTAAAAATGGCCGCCCGGGGGCCCCGAAGCATAATGGTGCACACTGGGCCTTCAATACAGGAAAAAATGGTTTGATTGACGCCGTTTGCAATAAACGTTGAATGTTATTATGTGTCATCTTAAATGATTTACAGTTATATACAAAGCAAACTAATGTACTTTGCGTTTGAAGTTTACAGATGCAAAGCTTTGTAGATAAATTACGTCCAGAATCGAGCAGACATATGGTCAATTTTCACAGATCATAATTCTCGCGCGGGACAAACTCGTGATTGATTCGTGTCAACATCTCGCGTACTTAAGTTCCCCGTTAAACACACAGCAGTCCATTCTTTATTGTTTAAAAATAGTATCAAAAATTGGATAGATTTCCTATTACTTCTACAGTCAACTCTCGCCTTACTGACACCCCGTTACAACGGACACCTCGATATTGCGGACAGTAAAATACTGAATCCCAGGCGAAAAATAAAAAGAAATGACCGTTACTACGGAATCTCGCTACTGTGGACAATAAATTACGGTCCCGAGGTTGTACGTAATGGCGAGAGTTGACTGTAGTTGGTTCGCGACTCGGCGATGACTTTGACTCGAATTTGCCCACGAGAACTGACAAAAACAGTTTCAAAAGATAAATAAAAAAGCAATAATAATAACTATAAAAACATTCATACAATTAACGTCAAATAAATCATTGATGAAAACACAAAAATAACATTTTTTCCATGTAAATATGAAAATGTACCAATGCGTCCCACATGTCACGTACAATGCGTGACATTGTTAGATCGCCGACAGCACCTATCAATGAAAGTTTGTGCAGTCACGACAAGTCCACTTGCCAGTGCAAAAAAATCATGAAATTTCAATTTCTCAAATTTTGTTTTTACCTCTATTGGCCCTGCAACATACATGTACCAAGTTTCAGAATCAATGGTGACGTTAATTTTGCCTAATTCTGGTACAATCATTTCCTCTTGATGTGGCGGTAGAATCGTGATAAACATTATAGACATGGCAATCACCCCTGCAATTTATATGAAAGAAAGTTGTTTTCTGCGTCCTGTACACGCGCTGAAATCCCATATACATACCTATACAAGTAAATAAATCCCATATACATACCTATACAAGTAAATAAATCCCATATACATACCTATACAAGTAAATAAATCCCATATACATACCTATACAAGTAAATAAATCCCATATACATACCTATACAAGTAAATAAATCCCATATACATACCTATACAAGTAAATAAATCCCATATACATACCTATACAAGTAAATAAATCCCATATACATACCTATACAAGTAAATAAATCCCATATACATACCTATACAAGT